GTATCACATGAAATATTTCTGAAATATTTCTGAAAGGTTTTTGTGCTGTATGGGAAGTCTGCGCTAGAACAGTTATTTTTTCAAACAGCAGATCTCACGTACACTCGTTATTTATCGAGCAAAGCTAGTTTGCGATTGCCAAATTTATAAACACACTAGAGAGTTACAGAAGAAACAAACACACACTTTGAGAGAGGACAAAAGACGGCTTGCCGGTGACAAGTAACGATTGTTCTCAGCGAGGAGGAGATTAGTTTTCCGCAGTAACGAAATCTAATTTGACGCTATTCTTTGTTACTGAATATCTGCGTGTCGAGTGATTCCTATACTTATGTACATATTGGACAAGTAACGTATCATTTTTACGTATCCGTGTTTCTTCTATTGAGGAAAAAGCATACGAATAGGAAGACAGCTGGCAATAGAAAATGGCAAACTTAGATGACTTAGAAAGACTAGAGAGGGAAAGACAAGAAATAGAAATATCATTAACTGAATTCCCATTAAATAACTTGCTATTCTCTTACACTTTGGTCCATGAATTGTCGCAAAATGAACCTAGAAATGGCCAATATTTAACGACATGGGTAAGTACTTCAAAACTTGATTAATCGTAGCTTCAAAGCTCAATTCATGCAGAATGTACATTAACGCGTACCTGCAACAATATTTTCGTATTTTAAAAATAGTTTTCAGAAATGCACACGTAGGACTAACAGTATCCCGCCTCTATTTGAACGTTCATCCAATATTTAGTACTGGAAATGTTTTCGCGATACATCGTGTTGGTACAATAGTAAAAATGTAATTTTGCTAATATAGTTTCTTTTTGTAGTGGGTAATAGACAAAGGCTCCGATCAGTCAAAAACATATAAAATCTCGTTGCAAATTATCGAATCGGCAACGCACCAGATACGAGAACACATTTGGACAACACCATACACTAAGGTGATGAATACCGTAAAACCTTCTTAATTTAGCAATTTGCGCTGTTGGAGAGTACAATTGTGAAAAAGCAATGACCCAAAATCGACAATACCCTCCCAGCGAGAAATGACTCGTCGATCGATGTCGATTCGACATCTCTCCGACATCGATCGACGAATCATTTCCCACCGGGTTGATTCCAATTCTGAAATCTCCAATAATCTAAGGACTCTTAGATTTCGAAATACAAGTATTCACAAATGTGTAAAACTATGAAATATAAACAATTTCCTGTTTTATGTATTAAGAAGTGACTTGAAATAAGTTTAGCTGTAAATTAAAATATAGACAACGCGTAACAAATTAATACAAATTGAGGATATTTTGAGTAACAATTTGCCCGTGTTTCACGCAAATTATAATATGTACGATTTCGATTGCACGCATTGTAACGCGAAATAGTAAAGAATCGATTCAGGACGATTAAATGCCAACCGAATGTAATATAATAGCTTCAGATTCCGTTCCTCAAGGAGAATAATTTTCATATCTATTTGAGGGAAGAACTTTACCAGTTTACGCAGTCCGTCAAAGCACGCGGCGTGGTTTATAGTCTGCTACAGCTGTCGGACGATGAGAAACGCAAGGGCGTGATAACAATCTCGACAGGCAACTTCGCTTATTCTCTCTGTCATTTTGGAAAAAAGTTTGGAATACCGGTGACAGTGGTGTTGCCACTAACAGCGCGGGATGAAAATATTGCGAGGTGTCATGCGTATGAAAACTCACACATAACAGTGCACGTCCAGGGTAACGATATAGTAGAAGCGCATCACATCGCTTTGCAACTTGCCAAGACAAAAGGTTTAGTTTACATCGATGGGTACGTTTTTTTTTCTTCAAAATTACCAATTAAGTTGAAATCAGGATAGAAAGAATTATTTTATAAAGGTAACTTGTTATGTTGTTGCCGTTACTCAATAACTATAATAGCGGCAACGACATTACAAAGTGTTCTTCCCAATTTTGGTTAAAATACATTCTCGTTGAAAGATAACATTTTCACAGGGTTGGGAAAGCTACTCTATAAAAGTATCTAGTTACAGTTACAGATGGAGAGAAAGTAATCAAGTTAAGGTAGAGTTACCAAAAAAAGTAACTGTAACTGTAACTTCGTTACAAGTAACCCAGAGAACACACATCTAAGATGTCTAAAAGACGTCTTAAAGATGATTTTTAGACATGCATGTTCTCTGAGAACGAGTTAATTCCCAACCCTGCCTTTTCAATAATTATACAATATATATCTTTAATTAGGACATAATTTTATCACATTCAGAAATTAGTTAAAGGATTTAATTAATATCATTTATATAATTATACTTTATTGTCTTAAGAGATGCTTGATTTGTTAATAATTTTACCCAATTCCATGACCAAATTATTCAACGACTTTCGATTCTTCGGGTAGGCATGACCATCCAAACATGGTTATTGGCCAAGCCACATTGGCCTTAGACATGTTGGCGCAGTTTATAGACGCTGAGGCAGTGATATTACCAACGGCGTTCAATAATTGTACATCAACAATGGGTATTGCAATGGCAATCAAAGAGTGGAATCCAAAAGTAAACGTTATCGTGAGTGAATAAATGCCTTTTTTATAATTTTTAATTAAAAACCATTGTTTTTCATTTCGGTCTAAATAATGAATCATATTTCGACTAAAAAAACAATTGCACGCACTTTGGATGGAAATGAAAAGTAAATTGCATATAATTTCACTTTTTAGCGAGCTTATACGGATATTCCTGATACTTTAACTCATTTCATTAGAACGCATACGTATCTGAGTGACGAAATCGTGCAATGTCCACCGAGAACGTACACGTGGTATGAAAGGCTTACAGATATACCGCAGTATTGGATCAACAAGGATGTTGTGGTAAATTCAATACTTGTTGAAGAAGCGGAGCAAGTCCTAAAAAATGAAAACATTATTGACAAAAATGCAGCAATTGGTTTAGCTGCGATTTTATCTGGTTCACTCAATGAGCTAAAGGGAAAAAGGTGACTTGTGTTTAATAAGTTCGATAGTTTCTTTCACAATTTGTTAATTCTACAATAATATGTTTATTATAGAATTTTATAAATTTTATAAGTTTCCACGAAACAAAGATTGGTTTCAATTTAATAATGATATAATTTAATCTTATAGTATTACAGTATTATTTTGTAACATTGTAATTCTTTCTCTGCAGGGTGATACTACCTGTGTATGGCAAAATCGATTCGACTCACGATCTTATAACGGTAAACGGAGAAGTTCCAGAACTTGAAGAAACTGAAGAAGAAGAAGAAGAAGAAGAAGAAGAAGAAGACGATAGACGAGCGAATATAGAACTGCCGGCGTTTCGTAGTGTGCCTTCAAGATTAGCAAATTTATTTTTAATTTTCGAGCTTCTTTTTTTATATTTGAGACTTGATTTTGGCACGGAGCCTCTGTAATTTTCTGCCATTTAAATTTTCTATCATTTTCTACAAAACAATACATTGTGAAATAGATTAAATCGTAGTGTACTTCGTTGTAAAATCATCAGCTTGAGAAAAGGCTACATTACGTGGCAACTTGAGAAAGAGGATTGTTAGCATGACATCTTCGCTAATTAGAACTTTAAACTTGATGAAATCGCGGTACGACACCGACATTTAATTATGCGAATCGGGGTTGTCGCGGATCTACGCGTTTCTCACCGAATCTCTAACATCCGTATAGTTTCACAATATTGTTACAGCGAAAGACTGTAACTCGAGATGTAACAATGACTTCCTATATATTACATTTGCATACAAGTTACTTGCATTATATTTCTTGCATTATAAAACTGCTTTAACGAAAAGTGAATAGCTGTTTATCGCTTCTTACAACTCCGTAAATTCTACCATCACACATCTTAATATTTAAGTTACGCATCTTGCCATTAATAATTAAGTTTCTTTTCTAAAAAAAAAAGTTTATGTAAACTCGAAGGAGAAATAAACGTTTTAGTTTTGAGTTACCTTTTACATTTCAATATTAAATAAATAGATAAATTTGCGAAAATATGTGAATTTAGGAATAGCGGACACAAACATTTGTTGCAACATTCTGAAAAAAATTTAATCTGCAAGATCAAACAATACAATTAAAAAGAAATATGTTACATATACATATGTATATATGTGTTACGTATGTATGTATATTTAGATTCATACATAGATACGTATGAAAGATAATAATCCAAGGAGCAAATCTTATTCATATATCCAACTTATTTATATATTTGCAGTTTAACGGATAATCTGATGTGAAAGGTACGAAGTCATACATTGATTACTGTACGAAGGACAAGTAAGAGCAAGAGAAAGAATAAGATATGAGCTAAATGTACATATGCAAAGTGTTTTTAAGTCTTTTCAAAAGTTAATACATACTTTTGCAAATAAATGAATAAATGCGTAATAACAAAATATAAAGCAATGAAAACAATTGAAATCAATAGACAAAAAATAATAATCCCATGTAAATTTATATATAAAAGAACTTGTTATTTTTAATGTATACTTTATATCACACATATGGGTGCGTAATGGAAACGGGCTGTTCTCGGAAAAGCTAAATACCTGGCTAAGTGTGAGATATGAACTGAAAGATCATGCTTGCTCGTAAAACGCCACAGAAATGGAACGTCGCTGCCAGTGCAGACATTTCTACATCCGACATCGCCGTGTGAAACTGCAAAGCAAAGGGACCGGTGCAACGAGAACCTGGGAGTGCCTTTTTAATGTCACGGAAGGAGTTACCTTTAAGTATCGTCGAAGTCGAATCACATGAATCGCTAGATTGGGAGAGAGTCCGATAATAAGAGAGTCGGAGACAAAGACGCGGCATTCCGCGATACGGATTTTTCCGCCGTGGACCCGACGTGAGATGGACCCGATGATCTTCGGGAAGCAGAGAATGCTGCCACAACATTGGCAAGCTACTATCCTCCTCTCGCTCGCTAACGATTAAATTATGGTCCGTGTAATCGTAATTATACGTTCCAGTCTAACATAATTCATAAACGTTAACGTTAATGCGCTACGCGATACCCAGTAATCATAGCCGGTACAATTTTTGTAGAAAATTTTACTACATTTTTGATTAAGCTGAAACCGACTCTGAGAAAGAGAGAGATATATATGTATATTAAAAATGTTGTCCTATCGGCGAATAAATAGAAAAAATAAATTATAAAGCGAATTTAGCAAGTCCTTTTATATTTAGAAAACAAAGACGAAGACGACAAAGGGGGAAAAGAATAAGAAATAATATACAAACTAAACGGGAAGAAATTATAGAAATTATATAAAAAAGAAAAACAATAAGGGGTAAAAGAAGAAAGAGCAGTACGACAGAAACGAGGAAATGCGAGCTACGAAGTAATCGAAAGATCGGTATCGTCTGTTGCGTCATTGGATCATGCCGCGGCTCTTTTATAAGTTCTACGTTATGTTCAATGAAATGTGCACCTGTAGTCGCACATTATTATCAAGATTATCACGAATCCCGGCGCGAGGAGCGAGGCGCATAACGATCGAGATATATCGAGGGGTTACGAAGTCCTTCGACTTCTTTCACGAGAAGATGGTTCACCTGAACATTAATTGCGGCCTCCTCTCGTTGCAGTCGAAAGGGTTGCCCGCGCGCCTTCTGCGCCATTATCGGGGATTGTATCGGCACCGTGGACGAGAGGGGGATCGAGTCCGTGCTTGTTTTAACCTTCCTCCTCGGTGACCTTACCCAGCCGCTCATCATCCCACAGCGCGCCGCGCGCATCGCCCGAACGATTTGCATAAGATCGAAGTACCGAGCGCGAGCGCGAGGTCGAGTCGCGCGCGTACATAGAGATACACGTATATGGTGGCTTTGGTCTTGCGCCGCGACCTGGCTAATGCATGTATTTCTTTGCTCACCGATACGACAGGGCACACCGTGAATCTTCTTTATTCGCGTCTTACAAAGATCAAATTAGCCTAAGATCCTCCTTTTGCACATTTGCGCGCTTCAAGACGACTGCTGGTGTTGGGGTAATCCTCCGGATAAAAGATCTGAGATAAACGGGGATAAATAATGGGTGTTAGAAAAGAGAGTCGGGCTCGAGCGCGAGCACCGTTGCGCATTTCATTTAGCAATCTTCGTTGTTGGACAGAAGGAAATAAATAATTCTATTTATATGTGCGGAGTAGACGCGATCATAATTTCTATTCTACGTTTACACTTCGTATCTGAAATCTCTACAATTATTTTGACAATACCTTTGGCCCAGGCTTCTTGTCCTAGGAGCTACGTCTATTTTAACCGGTTATGTAACCATGATGTTGTAAGGCTCGAACGTCATGTTAATGTCAAAAACTTCCAAATACAACTACTATAATGAAGCTTGTCAGTATCATAAATAATATTTTGTATCTGATATAGGAGAGCCCGTCGCGACCCGCGATGACCATATTTGGCGCATGTCGATATTGTGCTTAGATATCGACGATAAATAAATCTTCATGTATGCATTACTTAATAATGCTCGATATTGAATTTGTCGACAAGTGTTTAAGCCTACAGAGATTTGTTTTTGTCTCACGAATCTATTGTTAATCGTAAACATTTCCTATCGTTAGTGAAGATAAATAATTTTGTTGAGATAAAATGTGGGAGTTTTCTTCGAAGACGTTTCGCTAAATATTTTAATTTTTTAATAATTGTGTGCTATCGAAGGTGTTTTCATTCAAATCTTTCGGGATCATTTCACCTATAAACCATAAAGTCTCCGAACGCCAATGTAAGAAGTCAAACATTAAATTAGTCAGCGATAATATTAAACGCGTGTCATCGCGTCGCATTTTTGGCTCGCAGCAAGTTTGCTGGGGCACATTTGACTACGTCTTGCCTCGTTGATCATCTCCAAGCGGCGTCCTACCATCGGGGTTTCCTAGCGTTTCAAACACAATGGTCTTTTGACAGGAGCCCAATCGTTAGCTGGGCCCTTTTCTTCACAAGCGTTTCCCCATACATGGCGCTGTTGAGAAAGGCGATAGCTTCGATACAAGGATTGCACTAAAGATCCGTTACAATCCGTGATATCTCTATACATAACAAGTCGATTCTAAGCGAATGTTGCAACGAAGATCTCCAAATTTAGATTACGGTCGCGATTAGTCTCTCGCGGACAGCTTACGCTTATAACGGCAGTCCAAAATGTGCGATGCTGTTTATGAGATAACATTACGTCATATTCGTTAAATATGTTACAAAGAATTTCAAGATGTATATTTTTAATTACTGTTCCTTTAACTTGGCTTAGCTAAAATTATCCAGATTTCATCTCAATCTCAGCTCAAAGAGACTAGAACTATAAGTTGCTGTTATTGTTCTCATTTTAATTCCGTTGCTTCCATTAATTATCAGTGTCACAATTTTACGTACTAGCAAACTTTTTTAACAATTTCCTCTCTTTCTCTCTCTTCTCTCCAAACTCTATTTCTTTTTAAGTATAAACTACCGCACACACACACACACACACATATATAATTAAGAAATTGTTTAGGTTTAGAAGGATATTTCAGTTATTCAGTTTAATTACGATAAATTATTCAATTTATATACTGAATATTATAAAAATATCGACAATAATTATGTAATTAAATAATTACTTAGACTTCAAGTTATTTACAATGAAATGTTATACATAAAATATAAAATAATACATTGATTGAAGTTAAAAATTGCTAATAATGTATTATTCATAATTTTAGTAATATTAAATATAATTTATTAACTAAATACAATCACACATCAGTACGAGGCTAGGGCCATCTTCAGCTATCTTTGTAAAATGACAGGATATTTACGACCTGCAGGAGTCATAAATATGAGCTAAGTGTGCGTAGTAGCGAATTATTATGCAAGTGCTTCAACGAATTAGTCATTGAAATAAATTGCGATACGGGAGTCAGCTAATTAAGATTCAATTCATTCAACCGAAATTTTACTTCTCTGTCTCTACCACGATGTAATAAATAACAAAATTGGACTATTACAAATTAATATAGATTTTAAATATTTTTGTGACGTATGCGGCTGTTAATGCGATGATAAATGTAAAAATACAAAATCAAGAATAAAGAAGTTGCAACAGTAAATATTAATTTTGCTACAAAATACTATTACGTGTGAACAACTTGGCAAGCCATAGGATTACACAACATAATAATTATAATTATGAGAAAGTAAGAAATAACTACAATAATAAAAATATTTTTAAGCAGGCTCAAAAATGATATGATGAGAGTATCACGAGCACACTCTTTGTCTCCCTGTCTCCCTCGTTAATGCCATTTAAATCTAAACTATTTCAACAGAAAATACAATGTACTTTTATGAAATCTGAACCAGCGCGCACAAACCTCTCTTAAATTCTATTAGAAGTACCCGTTTACTCAGGAAAGACATGATATGATGAAAGTGTCACGGGCACACTCTTTGTCTCTTTGTGTCTCCCTCGGCAATGTTATTTGTATCTAAGCTATTTCAACAGAAAACACCAATGTACTTTTATTAAATCTGAACCTGCGCACATAAACCTTTCTTAAATTCTATTAGAAGTACCCGTTTACTCACGATAGATTATTCATCATAGTTAATTCGCCTATCGTAACGTTAATAACCGTTTCCAATAATCATCCTCGCTCGTTGACATTTCCGATAGTATCATAAATCAAAAATTCGACGCGATTTCGTGGCGTAACGTCTCGATAACGTGTAGAAACGCGCGGCCACAACGAGCTAATTACAGCCCAAGTCAAATCCCCCGGTGTATTAGCGCGTACACATACACGCGCGCGTCGGAATAATGTCGGTCGACCTCGCGCCA